ACAGGGATATCTTGCTACTCCTACTTACACTTTGGTCACACTTCACAGACACGCACATGCATATATATATATACATACATCTAGGTTTTTCTCCTTTTTCTAAATAGCTCTTGTTCTTTTTTATTTCTTCTATTGTCCATGGGGAAGTGGAAAAGAATCTTTCCTCCGTAAGCCATGCGTGTCGTATGAGGCGACTAAAATGCCGGGAGCAATGGGCTAGTAACCCCTTCTCCTGTATACAATTACTAAAAAAGAGAAGAAGAAAAACTTTATAAAACTGGGTTGCTTAAATGTGCGTGGATGTAGTGCGGATGACAAGAAACAGATGATTGCTGATGTTATGAATGAAAAGAAGTTGGATGTCCTGGCCCTAAGCGAAACAAAGCTGAAGGGGGTAGGAGAGTTTCAGTGGGGGGAAATAAATGGGATTAAATCTGGAGTATCTGAGAGAGTTAGAGCAAAGGAAGGGGTAGCAGTAATGTTAAATGATCAGTTATGGAAGGAGAAAAGAGAATATGAATGTGTAAATTCAAGAATTATGTGGATTAAAGTAAAGGTTGGATGCGAGAAGTGGGTCATAATAAGCGTGTATGCACCTGGAGAAGAGAGGAATGCAGAGGAGAGAGAGAGATTTTGGGAGATGTTAAGTGAATGTATAGGAGCCTTTGAACCAAGTGAGAGAGTAATTGTGGTAGGGGACTTGAATGCTAAAGTAGGAGAAACTTTTAGAGAGGGTGTGGTAGGTAAGTTTGGGGTGCCAGGTGTAAATGATAATGGGAGCCCTTTGATTGAACTTTGTATAGAAAGGGGTTTAGTTATAGGTAATACATATTTTAAGAAAAAGAGGATAAATAAGTATACACGATATGATGTAGGGCGAAATGACAGTAGTTTGTTGGATTATGTATTGGTAGATAAAAGACTGTTGAGTAGACTTCAGGATGTACATGTTTATAGAGGGGCCACAGATATATCAGATCACTTTCTAGTTGTAGCTACACTGAGAGTAAAAGGTAGATGGGATACAAGGAGAATAGAAGCATCAGGGAAGAGAGAGGTGAAGGTTTATAAACTAAAAGAGGAGGCAGTTAGGGTAAGATATAAACAGCTATTGGAGGATAGATGGGCTAATGAGAGCATAGGCAATGGGGTCGAAGAGGTATGGGGTAGGTTTAAAAATGTAGTGTTAGAGTGTTCAGCAGAAGTTTGTGGTTACAGGAAAGTGGGTGCAGGAGGGAAGAGGAGCGATTGGTGGAATGATGATGTAAAGAGAGTAGTAAGGGAGAAAAAGTTAGCATATGAGAAGTTTTTACAAAGTAGAAGTGATGCAAGGAGGGAAGAGTATATGGAGAAAAAGAGAGAAGTTAAGAGAGTGGTGAAGCAATGTAAAAAGAGAGCAAATGAGAGAGTGGGTGAGATGTTATCAACAAATTTTGTTGAAAATAAGAAAAAGTTTTGGAGTGAGATTAACAAGTTAAGAAAGCCTAGAGAACAAATGGATTTGTCAGTTAAAAATAGGAGAGGAGAGTTATTAAATGGAGAGGTAGAGGTATTGGGAAGATGGAAGGAATATTTTGAGGAATTGTTAAATGCTGATGAAGATAGGGAAGCTGTGATTTCGTGTATAGGGCAAGGAGGAATAGCATCTTGTAGGAGTGAGGAAGAGCCAGTTGTGAGTGTGGGGGAAGTTCGTGAGGCAGTAGGTAAAATGAAAGGGGGTAAGGCAGCCGGGATTGATGGGATAAAGATAGAAATGTTAAAAGCAGGTGGGGATATAGTTTTGGAGTGGTTGGTGCAATTATTTAATAAATGTATGGAAGAGGGTAAGGTACCTAGGGATTGGCAGAGAGCATGCATAGTTCCTTTGTATAAAGGCAAAGGGGATAAAAGAGAGTGCAAAAATTATAGGGGGATAAGTCTGTTGAGTGTACCTGGTAAAGTGTATGGTAGAGTTATAATTGAAAGAATTAAGAGTAAGACGGAGAATAGGATAGCAGATGAACAAGGAGGCTTTAGGAAAGGTAGGGGGTGTGTGGACCAGGTGTTTACAGTGAAACATATAAGTGAACAGTATTTAGATAAGGCTAAAGAGGTCTTTGTGGCATTTATGGATTTGGAAAAGGCGTATGACAGGGTGGATAGGGGGGCAATGTGGCAGATGTTGCAAGTGTATGGTGTAGGAGGTAGGTTACTGAAAGCAGTGAAGAGTTTTTACGAGGATAGTGAGGCTCAAGTTAGAGTATGTAGGAAAGAGGGAAATTTTTTCCCAGTAAAAGTAGGCCTTAGACAAGGATGTGTGATGTCACCGTGGTTGTTTAATATATTTATAGATGGGGTTGTAAGAGAAGTAAATGCGAGGGTCTTGGCAAGAGGCGTGGAGTTAAAAGATAAAGAATCACACACAAAGTGGGAGTTGTCACAGCTGCTCTTTGCCGATGACACTGTGCTCTTGGGAGATTCTGAAGAGAAGTTGCAGAGATTGGTGGATGAATTTGGTAGGGTGTGCAAAAGAAGAAAATTAAAGGTGAATACAGGAAAGAGTAAGGTTATGAGGATAACAAAAAGATTAGGTGATGAAAGATTGAATATCAGATTGGAGGGAGAGAGTATGGAGGAGGTGAACGTATTCAGATATTTGGGAGTGGACGTGTCAGCGGATGGGTCTATGAAAGATGAGGTGAATCATAGAATTGATGAGGGAAAAAGAGTGAGTGGTGCACTTAGGAGTCTGTGGAGACAAAGAACTTTGCCTTGGAGGCAAAGAGGGGAATGTATGAGAGTATAGTTTTACCAACGCTCTTATATGGGTGTGAAGCGTGGGTGATGAATGTTGCAGCGAGGAGAAGGCTGGAGGCAGTGGAGATGTCATGTCTGAGGGCAATGTGTGGTGTGAATATAATGCAGAGAATTCGTAGTTTGGAAGTTAGGAGGAGGTGCGGGATTACCAAAACTGTTGTCCAGAGGGCTGAGGAAGGGTTGTTGAGGTGGTTCGGACATGTAGAGAGAATGGAGCGAAACAGAATGACTTCAAGAGTGTATCAGTCTGTAGTGGAAGGAAGGCGGGGTAGGGGTCGGCCTAGGAAGGGTTGGAGGGAGGGGGTAAAGGAGGTTTTGTGTGCGAGGGGCTTGGACTTCCAGCAGGCATGCGTGAGCGTGTTTGATAGGAGTGAATGGAGACAAATGGTTTTTAATACTTGACGTGCTGTTGGAGTGTGAGCAAAGTAACATTTATGAAGGGATTCAGGGAAACCGGCAGGCCGGACTTGAGTCCTGGAGATGGGAAGTACAGTGCCTGCACTCTGAAGGAGGGGTGTTAATGTTGCAGTTTAAAAACTGTAGTGTAAAGCACCCTTCTGGCAAGACAGTGATGGAGTGAATGATGGTGAAAGTTTTTCTTTTTCGGGCCACCCTGCCTTGGTGGGAATCGGCCGGTGTGATAATAATAATAATAATAAATATATATATATATATATATATATATATATATATATATATATATATATATATATATAATATATATATATATATATATATATATATATATATATATATTTATAATGTAAGAAGCAATCTGTTGCCTAGTCTTGTGGAGGTATATTTAAATGCATTTTCCTACAATTCTGTAATGGTTACCTTACTGGCACTTATATGATAATTTCACTGGAGTTTATGGAGAGGTTGTAGACAGTGACTATGTCTTAACCCTGTAAGACTTGAATAATGTAGCTCCTGGGCCCGGCTACACCATCTACCTCTCCTTACTTTCTGCCCATATATAGACCGAACCAGACATACTTCGTATGTTAAATTCTGGCTCGTGGTGTCACAAGAATGTCGCACATTGTTGTAGGTCAGACACACACACACGCGCGCGCGCGCGCGCGTATACACACACACTGGTAAGTAGGTTAGGTTTGTCAGGAAACAGGACAAGTGTATCCTGACGCGGGTCTTAGTCAGATGGTGACCCGCAGCTGAAGCTTTTGATCATCTGACCGAGGCCTTCCGCTGGTTTACCAGTTCACCCCTTTAAAAATTATTGTTATGATTATAACCATTAGATAGTAAGTTGTGTACTGGTAAGCTCTAAGCTCACGGTAATTTACGAGTTGTAAATATTTTTAACTATTGTCGTTATTATAATTAATGTTAGTAGAAGTGTTATTATTATTATTATTATTATTATTATTATTATTATTATTACTATTATTATTATTATTATTATTATTATTATTATTATTATTATTATTATTGTTATTATTTCTTGCTTATATTATAGATTTATTTCGATCGCATCATATTTTATTTTCCTGTACATAAATTTAGTAACGCCATAAAACTGACGCATTCCGTAAAGGACTGAAATTGGCTTCGTGGAAGTGCGTCCTGAGCTTCACAATAGGATCCAGTGGCCCTGTGTCCTGCCATGCAGTCTTGCAATTCTTTGGGAAAGTTTATCGGTGCCTCGTCCATTCACGTGCCCCGCGTCTCAGCTCTCTGTGACTGTTTAAATGCTGGTGTTGGGCACAAGGTCACACACTCTTCGGTTTGGCATCGACGTTAGCCTAGCATTCGGTGTCTCCCTACCCCTCTCCGGGGATCCTTCCTCCCTTCCTTGACCGCCTCTTTTAAACACTCCCCTCAAACTCCTTTCACTCTCCTCCTCCTACTCCCTTTTCCACATTATCTCTTTCCTCTAAGACTCCCCTGTGTCAAATCTTCATTTACACCCCGTGTTCTTTCCCTCAGAGTTGTTGTTTCCTTTCTATCTTCGCCTAAGCCACATTTTTCCCTTAATCTTCCCTTAGTAATATCCCACCCACCTACCCATCACGCTCCTCCTTCCTTCCTCCCAGCTTCCCCTTAACCCCCCACCTCCCCCTCCCGCTTTCCACCCTCAGTGCCCCCTTCCCCTTTTTCTTGCTGAGCACCTCCTCCTCCTCCCTGTGAGTGGCCCTCTCCCACTCCTGTCCTGCTGGTATATAAGCTCTCCTAAACTCCTGGGAACTCACTTGGTATTTCTCCCTCGGTGTAATAACTTATACTCACCAGGTAAGTGCATGGGACAAGTGTGTGTGTTTGTGTGTGTATGTGTGTGTGCATCACACCATTGACTCCTCAAGACGCAATTTTCAGAACAAGTTTTTGCCGGGACGTTTTGCTTTCTTAAAGCTTCATTAAAACGAAACATTGCCGCAGTACAGTGTTCTGCAGCCTGTGTTTTGTCTTCAGTATTGAATCCAGTGACTCGTGTCCTCGAAGATTATTATTATTATTATTATAATCAAAGGGGAAGCGCTAAACCCGGAGGATTATACAGCGCCTGGGGGGGAGGATGTGGAAGGCATTCAGGCTTAATTCGGGGAACTGGAGCACAGATCCAATTCCCTAAATCAAGAGCCCCTCACCAACATCAAGGAACCTTCCTTGAGGGGGTCCTCGAAGAAGACAAGTGTTCTTTCCCAACTTGAGTTTGATGCAGTGTGTCTTCTTGGGTGACTTCAGGTACAGATGCAGCAGATTTTCCACATATGAAACAGCAAAAATGTTTTCGTCGCCCCTCGGACGCCACACAGCGGTGAAACCCGTGTGTTTACACCTTACTAAAGTGCACGAAGTAAAAAACAAAGGGAAGAATAAATTCACATTCACCGTCTTACTGGTTTAGTGATATAATATTAATTTCCATGATTATCAGAATACATTATTTGAAGTAATACATAAATATTACTCACTGAGATACAACTGTTGACTTTATCAGCTTTTTCTATCAGCAAAATCCGATTCAGACATCAACTATAGCTCTAATCCGGCCTGAGGAAATTTTTTCAAGCTGAGTTAACTACTGAACCCATAGTGGAATGCTTGACGATATACTCATCACCCTGCTGAAGTTCCCCAGCTCAGGCTGATAGATTTCCTTATGTGTAAATCTATCCTGTGTATGGGAATATGACAGGAATATCATCTTCAAGATCATCCCATATATGATGAAGAATTAGACACATGTGCAACACCAGATGTTGCAGGTGTCTAATTCATCATCTTGAATTGTGGAGCTGGACGCCACATCCTGTAAGATTACGTGCGACAGGACAACCAACTTTCATGATTGGTGCTGACTAAACATAGTTCATTTTCTAACCTTGTAAATAATAATCATAATAATAATAATAATAATAATAATAATAATAATAATAATAATAATAATAATAATTTATTATTATTATTATTACTTATTTCAATAAGATATATTTGACATAAAGGTTTATTACACGGAAAATTCGGTATTTATGGGAGGCATTTCGAAGCAAGCCACATACATATATAATATAGTATATTAGGTTTATATAAAACACAACTACATTATTAACCTCAAGGTACATAACTGGGTAATGATTTTAGAGCTGTTTTAGACAGTCTTACTAAACCAGCGAGTATCAGCAGGAGTAATCTAGGACATCATGGATCATTACCTGCGAAGCGTTGAAATCTCCACATATCTGATCATCAGTGGTGAACTTTCATCCTCCATATTCCGTCGTACGAAAAAATAAATCTTAGGACACGAAAGGGTGATCCTGTTCTTAATTAAGCATGAGTAAGCTACTAAAACAGTAGATGCTTAACACTCACTACTGCCACGACAGTTGTCTGATCATCGCGCGAGTCATCGATGGCAACGACCCGCCTCAGGAGACATTGTCTGGCGACTAAACCAAACTGCCGCTGTGCTGACACTCTTACGTTGTAATAGAAATAATTCGTAAAGAAAATAATGCGCTGTGGAAGTCGCTACTTTGTGAACATCAAAATGATCCATTAATAAACAATAAGTGTTGTAAGCTTAAAAAATAAGTAAACGAAAACAATAAATGCCATAATAAAAAACAATAAATGACATAAAATAAAACAATAAACGCCATAATAGAAAACAATAAGCGCAGTAAACAAAAGAAGTGTCGTAAAAAATTCCATAAAACCCACAGAATGTATCGTTACAGACACATGAAGTCTGAGAAGCAGCGTCACACAATGAAATATACCAACTCTCACCACGAAGAATTTAGGAAAAATATTTGTGTAATATAAATCTTACAATAAACAAAGTTGACGCAAAAGTTCTCATAATACAGCGAAGTGTTTGAACGTTGTCCGAGGAAAATAGTCACAGAAAATAAGTCACAATTTTGACTGAAAAAAAAGTCACTGGAAAACAATCATATAGGTTAAGTTGTGACTTTTTTCTAGGATTCGTTTGAATTGACGCTGTAAGTTTAAGCCTGGTGTATGTAAACCCTCACATGGCACTTGTATACACACTGGTACATGTATATCACTGGATATACACCGAGAGATAACTCCCTAATTTAGGTGGGTTAAAGTCTTGCTAACCCTCGAGGGGACGACTGGCCTTATACCTGACAACTTTTTTTGGCCGCAACAGTTATCGTCTCTCAGAGACGTGTGTATGTGTCTCTGTGTATGATGTCAGCGTTGACTTCGCTCCTTTATTCTGCGAATATCTCCCCGTCTCTTCTTCTTTTCTATATTTTCTTTGTCTTCATTTGTTCTGCCTGGGTGTCTTCTGTCCTTCAGTTTACGCTCCTCCTTGTGTTTTTGGTCACACCCTCGTGGACCATTAGCTCTTCTGTGAGTGACTAGTCTGTTGCTGCTGTCACCGCTATCCATCTGCTGTTATTACTAACTTGCTTCTACCATGACAAATTTGTTGAGCTCATCCTATTAATTCAGTGTTATGAACGATAAAAATAAAATCACAACATCGTGGCTGGTATAATTCACCAAAAAAAAAAGCAGTTAGGAGAGGACTCTTAGGACGACGTTTCGCTCCCTCCTGGAGTGTAGTCAAGGCACCACTCACTTAACAATGGTTCAGGACGGACCAAAGCGTCGCAATGAGATTTATTTCCTGGAAAATTTGTTTTCTGCTCATTTCTTCCCAAAAATACAATTTAGAAGCCAACTTTATCTTAAAATTAAGATAATTTAAATATTTCTACCTAATACTTCAAATATGACAGAAAACGAAAAATCCCTCTCTAAAGCGATTAATTATGCAATAAAAATAAACTAGTATATTCTTAATAAAATTAAATCAGGGAACGGGTGGGGTTCGAACCCATGGCAAGCGAGTCCTAAAACTAACAGGCCAGTGCGTTAACCACTGCGCAAGTTGACACTGATAAGAGGAATCGAACTAAGTATATTTCTATACACCACAAGGAGGTTAATATGAGTCCATGCTAACCTCCTATGGTGTATATCCTGTGGTGTATATTCTGTGGTGTATATCCACAGGATATACAACACAGGATATACAACACAGGATATACAACACAGGATATACAACACAGGATATACAACACAGGATATACACCACGTTAACTCTTCTCAGTCCATATACACTAAAATTTCTGTCAAATATTACCATGTATTTGAAGGCTGAAAGAATCATTATGTTCTTGACAGTTCTGTGAGGTTATGACACTTCTGAGAGGTTATGACACTTCTGTGAGGTTATGACAGTTCTGTGAGGTTATGACACTTCTGAGAGGTTATGGTAGTTCTGTGAGGTTATGACAGTTCTGTGAGGTTATGGTAGTTCTGTGAGGTTATGACAGTTCTGAGAGGTTATGACAGTTCTGAGAGGTTATGACAGTTCTGAGAGGTTATGACAGTTCTGAGAGGTTATGACAGTTCTGAGAGGTTATGACACTTCTGTGAGGTTATGACAGTTCTGAGAGGTTATGACAGTTCTGAGAGGTTATGACAGTTCTGAGAGGTTATGACAGTTCTGTGAGGTTATGGTAGTTCTGTGAGGTTATGACAGTTCTGTGAGGTCATGGCAGTTTTGTGAGGCTATGACAGTTCTGTGAGGTCATGACACTTCCGTGAGGTTATGACAGTTCTGTGAGGTCATGGCAATTTTGTGAGGTTATGACAGTTCTGTGAGGTCATGACACTTCTGTGAGGTTGTGACAGTTCTGTGAGGTCATGACACTTCTGTGAGGTTATGACAGTTCTATGAGGTCATGGCAGTTCTTTGAGGTTATGACAATTCTGTGAGGTCATGACACTTCTGTGACGTTATGACAGTTCTGTGAGGTCATGACACTTCTGTGAGGTTATGGCAGTTCTGTGAGGTCATGACACTTCTGTGAGGTTATGACAGTTCTGTGAGGTCATGACACTTCTGTGAGGTTATGGCAGTTCTGTGAGGTCATGACACTTCTGTGAGGTTATGGCAGTTCGGTGAGGTCATGACACTTCTGTGAGGTAATGACAGTTCTGTGAGGTTATGACAGTTCTGTGAGGTCATGACACTTCTGTGAGGTTAGGACAGTTCTGTGAGGTCATGACACTTCTGTGAGGTTAGGACAGTTCTGTGAGGTCATGACACCTCTGTGAGGTCATGATACTTCTGTGAGGTCATGACACTTCTGTGAGGTTATGGCAGTTCTGTGAGGTCATGACACTTCTGTGAGGTTATGGCAGTTCTGTGAGGTCATGACACTTCCGTGAGGTTATGACAGTTCTGTGAGGTTATGACAGTTCTGTGAGGTCATGACACTTCTGTGAGGTTAGGACAGTTTTGTGAGGTCATGACACTTCTGTGAGGTCATGACACTTCTGTGAGGTCATGACACTTCTGTGAGGTCATGACACTTCTGTGAGGTCATGACACTTCTGTGAGGTTATGGCAGTTCTGTGAGGTCATGACACTTCTGTGAGGTTATGGCAGTTCTGTGAGGTCATGACACTTCTGTGAGGTTATGACAGTTCTGTGAGGTTATGACAGTTCTGTGAGGTCATGACACTTCTGTGAGGTTATGGCAGTTCTGTGAGGTCATGACACTTCTGTGAGGTTATGACAGTTCTGTGAGGTTAGGACAGTTCTGTGAGGTCATGACACTTCTGTGAGGTTAGGACAGTTCTATGAGGTCATGACACTTCTGTGAGGTTAGGACAGTTCTGTGAGGTTAGGACAGTTCTGTGAGGTTAGGACAGCTCTGTGAGGTCATGACACT